ATCAAAAACGAGTAATTTTAGGAAAATGCAGTACAACGACAGTGACTCGGAATATCGTCTCACAAGGATTCTTGTAGGAATAATCAAATACAGTAACGAAATATGGGGGGTTTTGATTAAGATAAAATAAACGAAAAATAAGTGATTAGAAAAAGTGATTGTAGTAATGAGTTGAAACGGCTAATCTACTGTTTTCGTTTCCCAACTTATCATCGATCCTAATAATTCCCAATTCCTAAGCGGATTCTATCCCCTTTCCGATTATAATAACAATCAACAAGCGCAATTGATATTATACGATACACGTTCCTAATTTCTGAATTAAGCAAACAGATAAAATAGTAACCGTGAATTAAGCAAACACGAGAAACATACGCGGATTAAGCAACCGCGATTAAAGTATAAGAACATGCAATCATCGAAATAAACCAATCATCCCTAAGATAAAATCGAATTAAGAAAACAAAATATCATAGAGAAGAATTAAAAGGAAATAGATTTTATTGGAAATGAAAAGAACCTCAAAGTGTTGGCGGGAACCGATTACAGCAGATTAATCTGAAGGAATTAGTTCTCCATAATTCATACCAAGCTCCAACAAATATTTTCGTGAATAGTGAATAGGATTTTTGGCTGTACGGCCAGACCTAGACTAAAGAGGATAAAAACAAGAATTCGGGTCATAACACAACTGGGTCAAAAACATAATTCAGGCCCAAAACAAGATCAAAACTAAAACATAATTCTAATGCTGTAACTTGAAACGAAATTCTGGAATTTTGAGATCCGAATCTGACTTCGACTCCAACACGAAAGTCGTAGCTCTCTCTCTCTTAGCTTTCCGACGATTTTTAGAACGCCTCAAACGGATTCCCGGAGCTCCAGTTATGATCGTTTCCGTGCAGACTGCTAAAGCTGAAAAATAAGTGCGAAAATTAAATTAAACCAAAAATAAAATAAAATATGAAAACATAATAAAATATAATAATAAGCAAAATAAAGTAAAGAAATGCCTAAGTAAAAATATAGGAGAATGTGCATAAATATGCACTGATCAATCGTTTCAACTTGCGAATGTACGGTTTTGATATTGTTTGAAGTTAGTACTTTGCAAGGTACTCGTTTATCGCTTTCTAGAACATAGCATGATTATGAGACTTTTTATTTGTACAATTTTCATGTCATTCATTCTTTTGCTATACTTGTTCAGTTTTGAATCACTTTAGAACTAAACCTTTTTGTGAGGAGCTTTCCATTGTTTACTATATGCAGGAGACCAACATTCTTATTTAACTCGGTTTTATTATGTTTAATCTTGTATTTGTGTTGATTTGTATGATAGAACTAAAATGATCAAGGAATTTTGTTCGATTTTGAGCATACCCACTTGACCAAATAGTCAATCTACCTTGTGAGTGAGTGATAATTTGGTTACCCCTTTGAGCCTTTGTTAGAATCCATATTGGTGTTAAGTTCATTTTTGTATGGATTCTAATACTTTTTCTTGAACTATAACCATGACTTGTTATTTGAGTTTTTACCCTTGCCTAATAAGTTTGGGAGCATTCATGTCACTATGTGTGGTTGTATTCAAGTTGGGGAGAAGAGGTTGGTTGCTAAGAGGTTGAGAAAAAGAAAAAGTTTGAAAAAGAAAGAAAAAAAATGAAAAAGAAAAAGAAAAAAAAAAGAGGGAAAAGAATTGAAAAAAAAAAATTAAAAAAAAAATAGAATAATGTTATGCGAATAAGTTGCGTGGAATGGTGTAACAATTTGGAAAAGAGAAAAGGGTGATTGGAATTTGTGAGTGCTTGAGATTGTGAGAAATGATCACTCTCATTTGATTAGACAAATTTTTGTTCTTTTACCTTGAGAAAAACAATTTTTTGTTACCCAAGCCACATTACAGCCCTTAAAACCCTTGTGATTTTTGATTTTGTACTATTCAATATGAGTTTTTTCTTGATGAATGCATAATTTAACTTGTTGTTGACTTGATTGTTGGGTGAGAGTTAAGTCCCTCGTATTTTTTTTATTCATCTACCGATGAAGTGTGTGCTAGGTGTGATTCAATTTTGAACTTTGTATTGTCTAAGAATTTTTGACATGTGTTTTGTATTTAGGAGTTGTTTCGTTTTCATGTTATCGTTATAGTTTAGTGGTATGTTTTGCTTTGCATGTACGTTTTTGTGTTGAACCATACATTTGTTTTTGTTTTTCAAAACTTGTTGAATCATGATTGCTTGGTTATTACTTTTGTTTTCTTGAGTTGATCGATTCTTGTTTGAGGACAAACAAGTTTAAGTTGGGGAGAGTTGGTAAGTTCTAAAATATACTGATTTAGAGTGTAAATAATTGGCACTTATTGGCTAGATTCAACCAATAAACCTCAACTTTTGTGCATATGTTGTATAGTTTAAATTATAGTGTATATATTGAGTGTCGTGTAAATTTCATTGAGTTTAATTGATTTTTTCTCATTTTTTGTAGGTATATAAGCAATGATATTTTGTCATTATCTTATAGAGCATTGAATAAGCTTTCCAACGCTTCCGACCGCGCGTAAAACGGAGTTACGATTCAGAAGTTATGGTCGAAACAAGTGCTGGTTTGCTGTCATGTTCGCCAGGCGAACAAAAGTTCACCAGGCGAACAGAAAGTTTTAAAACGCGTGAAAAACACTGTTTTGGCAGTAGCAAAAGTTGCATATGTTCGCCAGGCGAACAGGACTTCGCCAGGCGAATACTGGGACCCATTTTTGTCTATTTAAGTGATTTTTCAGGATTTTTTAGGTGATGTTGTTTGAGAACATTTTACCCAAACTTCATCAAACACATTCTTGAGTAGATTTAGCTTAGAAACAACATTGGAGGGTGCATCTTGACGATCCGGAGTCGAATCCACTTCAATCGGAGTTGATAGACCGTGAGATTTGTGTTCTTCTTCCTTCCTCTCTATGTATTTTTCATTTGTTGGGGTTTTGTATGTAAGTTTATCTTGATTGTGTGTATATTTATGGATCTTTGTATAAAATCTCTTTTACAACTCTTTATCGATGGTTATCTTGATTTTTTACTTAATGGGTTTGGATTGCTATAGACATATACTGTTCGAACTCGATCTAAGATGAACATCTATTAGATTCTAAATGTTAGAGATAGATTTAGGACTAATTTTCACGTGGGTATCAATTCTTAATGCTCCGTGTTGTCGATTTGTGTGAGACATCAACAATGAGACGATACGGTTGATCTCTCGACTTTGTGTTAGAGATAAACTCTGTTGTGAGTGATACGTGATGAATTAGGTTGCGTGCATTTGATCCATATATTTTTTTAGTACATGATAGGTAAAACGAAATACAACTCCTGACGAGTTTTCTCATTTCTTAAGAATGGACTTATTTTCTTGTTTTATGTTTTTCCTTTTGAAATTTTTTCCCAAACCATTCAAACCCAAGCTTAGAAACGTAGAGATTGTCGAACGACATTCTTTCCCTCACACTAATCCTTGTGGAGACGATAAATCCCAGAGGAAATTCTTCCGAAAATAATTTGTTGTGAATCGGATACCTTTAAACAAAGTATAAACAGTTTCTTAATAATCAAGAAACTCACAAGGGTTGGGGTTAACAAAGAAAACAAGGTAAAACAATAAGGAACAACAAGGATTGGTTATTAAATTGCTATTCTTTCCTTTCTCTTAGAACAAGATTACAAGTATAAAAGAATAACAAAATAACCTCTCTCCCTTGAAATTAGGATTTTATCTTCATATTTTTCCTTATGCCAAGATTGAGAAACTAGCATCCTATTTATAATAAAATAGCACACTAACCTAATGGGCTTTTTAACAATTACCCATTAAAAGCTAACTTAGGGTACAAGCTAACTTAAACAATTGGGCTTACAAGCAATGTCCAATTCAACATGCTAACAAACCTAGCAAGATTGACTAATGCATGTTAGAACAAACTTCGACTACAACACGCATTACTTGCGTACAGACTTCGGCAACACTAGAGTTCGATCCAATATCTCACAAAATAGAATCCAGAGGTTTTCTGTGAATTTTTCGGTGGATTTTAAAATTTCGAAATTATATATAAAAAAAGATTCATGGAAGAAAATAAAAAAAACACATAAACTTCCAAGAAGCAAATGACTATTTAAGCCTATCAAGTTTAAATTTATCTAAAACCTTAATCTCTAGTATCTGCGAACAAACAATTATTTTACTCATAATTATCTCAATAATATAAGCTATTTTCTCAATAAAATATAGTTATCTCAACAACCCATAATCATCTCAACAATATAAATTATATTTTCATCAAACACATAATTATTTTAACATCTCATATATTTCATAGACATCTCAACCATCCATAATCCATAATCATCTATGAGTGATACTTAACAACTTTAAATAAAATATTAAATTGCACTTGATTGATACACATAGAAAGTGGCAACTAGGTGAGGGTAAAATCATCAATTTTTTGGATTAAGTTTGATTCTTCTAATGCTCATAGGATCAAAGAGATTTTCTGGCACTCCCGTTAAATTTATTAGGTCGAGTGTAACAAATGGAAGTATCCTCGGCAGCCTAGGTTTTCTACCTTAGAGATACTTTTGTTGCTTCATTGGGTAGTTTTGCTCAAAACATTAGCGTCACTATTGATGTTTGGAGCTTATGAAGTAGATGAAAACATTAACGTCACAGATAGCATGTCAATAATTTACAGAAATAAATAATGCAAATGAGTTCATGCTTGGTTAAATTAAATACACATTTCAAACATCAAGGTGGTCAATAAAAGCCATCGCAATAAACAACATGTGTATGCTGTTTCTGTAATATCCAAATTATAATAATATGCTAACACATTGGATACTTCATTTCAGCTAGCCCTAACGCATATAAAAAGACCCAAACAATGTGAGGTTTTCATCCACATTCCAAATACTTTAAATCTTATTGATAGAATTCAGACACCAAGTATGGAATTCAAAAATGGAGACAATGTTTCTTCCAATTTGCTTAATGCTCAAAGCCACATATGGAATCACATTTTTAACTTCATCAATTCCATGTCACTTAAATGTGTTGTTGATTTAGGCATACCAGATATCATTAACAACTATGGCAAACCCATGTCACTCTCAAAACTCATTTCTTCACTACCAATCCATCCTTCGAAAAAACCTTGCATTTATCGCTTGATGCGAATCATGACTCATTCTGGTTTTTTCTCTCAACAAAATGTTACAGAGAATGAATTAGAAATTGAGTATACGTTAACGGATGCATCTAGGTTATTACTTAAGAACAATCCAAAGAGTGTGGCACCATTTGTCCAGGCAATGCTCAGCCCGATTATGACAAATCCATGGCAGCAAATGTCTACTTGGTTGAAAAATGAGGAATCTACCGCATTTGAAACGATACATGGGGAGTATTTTTGGGAATATGCAGCTCATGACCCAATACTTAATCGTTTATTCAACGAATCCATGGCATGTGATGCTCCATTAGTGAGTGATCTGTTAATTGAAAAGGGTAAGGGTGTGTTCGATGGATTGGAGTCATTGGTTGATGTTGGAGGAGGCACAGGGAACTTGGGAAAGGCTCTTGCCAAATCATTCCCACAATTGGAATACACTGTGTTTGATCTCCCACATGTTGTTGATGGCTTACAAGGAACTGATAACCTAAGCTATGTTGGTGGAGATATGTTTCAAGAAATTCCTCAAGCACATGCCATTTTATTAAAGGTATCATGTTAAATATTCGTTTACTTGTTGCTTCATTAGAAATGGCAATAAAAAATATTAAGATATAATCCATTGAAAAAGTAATAAGATTTTAAATGCTTTTCAAACAACTTTCTTTTGGGTTGAAACTGTGGGTTCCATTAAGGTTATCTTTGATTTTTATAAAACTTGATATTTTTTATTCTCTCTATTATTTACTATAATATATTAGATTTTCAATACTAATTATTTTTATTTATATTTGTACTTAATTTATACTTACATATATTATATAACTTTTTCCTTTAATATTTTCTCATACCAAAAGCACCACTAATCATATAATTTTCTTCACAATTATTATATTTTCTCTATCTTTCTTTTATAACCAAAAAAAATACGAATGGAATTACAGTGGATCTTGCATGACTGGAATGACAAGGAATGTGTGAGTATTTTGAAGAAATGTAAGGAATCATTGGAGAAGAAAGGTAAAGAAGGAAAGGTTATTATCATAGATATGGTGGTGGACAATCAACACACTAATGAAAAATTTGAAACACAACTCTTCTTTGATATGTTGATGATGGTAATGCAAACTGGAAAAGAGAGAACTGAGAAAGAATGGGTTAAGTTGATTTTATCGGCTGGTTTCAGTGACTATAAAATAACCCCAATTTTAGGTTTAAGGTCCATGATTGAGATCTATCCTTAAAAAATATAAGTCAATTGTTGTCAGCATTGAAAGTGGAGTCACATTATCGTATGATATCACTTACTTGTTTTAATGTTTTTATAAATTTGAATTAAGTTGTTATAATTTGTTTGTGTATTTGTAATTTGCTTATCATTTAATATTCGAGTTTTATTTATAATTTTCACGTTATTCGCATTCAAGTTTTACTGTTATTGTTTCGGCTATTTAGAGATTGTACCATTAAGACCCCTCATTACTCAATCTAATTAAAGTGTTTGATCACGGATAATTGTTACACCTTAAATTTTATCTTTAATATTTTTTATTTATTAACCACGTATAGTCCATTTGCATCATCATCATAACATGACCAATTATTTGGTCACTCGTTACGTCTTGCATTATTAGTGTGTTGATAAGTTAGATGTAATTTTAGAATAAAAAGCAGGCTTCCTTTTGCATCTATGCATTTTAATTTGTCTTACAGCTTCATTGGCCATTTAATCTTCATCATTTTGATTTCCATTCTCATTTGAAATGGAGCTTAAATGAACTTAAACCAACTCTTTTGATATCATTAGCTCCATATTGGTGATATTGGTGATTGTTCTCTAATTTGAAAACCAAGTGGCTTCTTAAGCTCATACCGATTTATTTGTTTTGATGGACAATAACTTTAACTAAGCCTTTATTATAGCACATCCATACTTAATTGAATTTGTTTGTTGAGATTAAAAGTTTTTTTTAGGAAAAATTATTTTGTTCATTATAAAGAACCATGCCACATTCATTCTCATGTTCTTATAACATAAAGCCAAATGTTGATAAGCAGCAAAAGCTGCAATTTTTCCTTTTATGCATCATAATACCTCACTATGTCATGCAATTTGATATTGTATTATAATTAGAAAAAGTAAATATGTTGTGAAGTTTTGCATAAGAGAACCAAAAGACAAGTTTTTTGTCCATCCCACATAGACTTAGTTTTTGCAAATGAAAAAAAGAGAACTAATTTTTCATTTGATTGTCATGAACATACCAACATGCATACAATTGTTGGAATTCAACCACAATATATGAAGAATTTCACTCAATCTTGATCTCAATATTATTATCAATCACGCAATGACAATGAAAAATGTTAACAAGATAAAAATTATGTAGAGTTTCTTTCTGCCCACAAACTGTGGAAACTTTCTTATTCACTTGCAACTGCAAACTATGAAAACAATATTAGGAGTTGTGTTTACAAAATAAGATTTGCTCCCTATTTATAAATTTAGGTTAACTTACACCACAAGTCAAAGCCCAAAATAGTTAATATTACTAAAATAGGCCTAAGTCAAAATCATGTGTGAAGCAACCTACTTCGACACTTCGACACCCTAATAAAACTTGAAACACACACATTAGGCTAATTTAACTAGACCTTGTTTCTATCGAGCTACACTACTTTGACGTAAGGAATTACAAACTCAACACACCACATAATTCATTGTGTCTGGGCTATCTAAATTTATCATAGACGATTGCTTCTTGAATACTTCGACTTGCACTCCTTTCGTCATGATATCTGCAATAGGATTCTCAGTTATGTAGTGTTCCAAGTTCATCTTCCCTTCCGCTACCTGCTCTCGAAGATAATCTAACCTCATCTCAATGTGCTTGCTTCGACCATGTTCTAATGGATTCTTCGCCAGGTTGATAGTTGACATGCTATCGATCTTCATTGTAATTGCTCCATAACTCATCCTTGTACTTTCTTTAACCAGGTTCACCATCCATGTTTCTTGACACACACAAAGAGAAGAAGCTATGTATTCTGATTCACATGACGACAATGCCACTACTGGCTCTTTTCTCAAACTCCAAGCCACTCGTGTACCACCTAGCATAAATGTAACAGCCCAAATTTCATTAATAAATTAATTATGTAAATTAATTCATTTATTGGAATTAATCTTAATGATTTGGATTAATTGGATTTATTTGGTAGATAATTGAAGAGAGAAATGGGAAGGAAAGAAATAATAGAAGTATATAAGGAATAAGTGGAAAGAATTGCATAGAAAGAAAATAGAAGAGAAAGAATAGAGAAAGAGGAGAAAAGAGAAGAGAAGACGAAAACTTGGAGAAATCATCAAGAATCAACTTCAAGCTTCAATCCAATCAAGGTAAGGGTGAGAAACATTATTATCTAGTCAATGTGTGTGCTTATGTATGTGTGGGTTGGGTTTCGTTGTGAGTTTCCACCATTTTTCAAGTTAGGGCAAAATGGATTTAATCGATAGATTCGTAGTGTAATCGGTTAGAAACTGAAAATGATGTCGTAGAATAGTCGAGTGATGTGGGATTAAGATTACTGGAACTGGTTCGGTAAGAATCGATCGATTTTTTGGAGAGTAGAAGTGTTGGGACAGAATGAGGGTTCTGATATCGCATGTTTGCTGGCTCTCTCCAGGCGAGTGAAGGCGAAGCTTCGCCGGGCGAAGCCCAGCGAATAGCTGGCGAATAATTCAAGAGAACTCCCAGTGGTCTTTGCTGGCAAGTTCGCCAGGCGAAGGTGAGTGGCGAAGGTTCGCCAGGCGAGTACATCAGCGAAGGGTAGCGAATCAAGTCAGTAGCTACTGACTTTTGTTCGCTGGCGAGTTCGCCAGGTGAAGGTCCCAGCGAGCATTCGCCAATGGCTTCGCCAGGCGAAGGGTGGCGAGCAGGACAACATTGTTTCTTTTCTGTTTTGTCCATCCAATGATTAATTGCTTGGTTCAATTATGTTATCCCTATGTGATATGAATAGTTTGTGTACTATTGTGATGAGCTGTGGCTAGCCTTTGGGCATGAATCCTAGATTGTGATATGTGTATTGTTTGAATTACTTAGGAATACATGAGAACATATTAGTGAATATGTGTGTATTGTCTAATAAGTATGTGAATTCATATTGTTGTATGCTAATGTATGTAATGCATGGGAACATATCATGGATATGTGTGCATTGTTTTGATGAATGTGATGATGGTATTGAATGTGAATGCATTGAATTGTTATGAATATGTTGTGTGTGCAATCATGTTGTAATTCTTGAAGGGATGAATTATTTTAATGCATTGGATTAAGATGCGGGAACGGTCTTAAGTGAATTTTTGTTGGTTGATTGCATATGCATCATTTAGTCAAGAGGCAATGTTTGCTAGTTTCGTGGAGACTAGTGGCTTGTCCCAAACCTAGAAGGGTGGGTTTGAAGCCTAGGGGACGGGCTTTGTTGTTATCGGTCTAGAAGGGTGGACCCGGTTTCAATGTAAAAACCAAAAAATGATAACAAGTGTTGGTACCACATAGCATTGAGTTGCATGGAGTCGTGATTGAGTCACATAGCATAAATGTCATTGATATATGAAGCATGCTTGTGAATGGGATGTTTTTGGATAATTGTGAAATATGCATGAAGGGATATTGTTGCGGTTAGAATATGATATAAAATTATTAATTAATTTGAATCGCATCTTTAGTTCACAACCGCTCTTTGATTTATCCGAAGGAAAAGGTCAAAAGAGGAAAACCTAATTTTGCATCGTAAAGACAATGCGAGGAGAGATCTAGGTAAGGGGTTGATTAAGCTTAGGGAAGGTACTAGCACCCTAAACTTCTGTAGTACTCTACAGGAACCTTTTGTTTATTGTATGCTTTTTTATTTTATTATCTGTTTGAAATATATTGCTAAGGGATAGAGTGACCTAAAAGAGACCTAAGGGTTAGACCTAAGTTTACTCGGCAAGACGTCACATCTTGTGCCTACGTATCCTGGATAGGGAATGGAATCAGAGTAATCGTAGTTCCCCTCGAAAGGGAGGTTAGAAAATTCTTGATTATGGTCAAGGTTTCTAGGGGAGTAAACGTATCTTAAGGACACGCTTACGTGGAGTCTTGAAACTCCTATTTCTATGTTGAAAAGTTGAATTAAAATTAGGGTTGAAATTAGGGATTCCACGGCAGGAAACCCTAAATCAGAGTACGACGACTCTTTGACCTAAAGCTAGGGTAAAGGGTATTTTCGTCCACGGCGGGACACCTAGGCTATTAGGGTTTAGAAGCTGTTGAAACTGGGGTTATTGACTTGGCGGTCAAACAGCTAAACCTAATTCCTTCGGAGGGAAAATAACGGTAAAACATGCAAACATGATAAGATATTATATGGCAGAAATTAAAATGCAGAAAGTAAAGAAAGCGTCGCGAAGATCACTCGCGTAAATTACAAATCCCCAAAAAAAGAAAGATAAAATAAAACCGCGACCATGGCCTCGCGTAAATTACATCCATGGAACAAAATAAATTGAAATAAATATGAATCAGAATCTATGTATAATCTGAGGAGAGAAACAGAGAACATTAGTGGAAAGTTAGACGGAAATATGGCAAACACAGTTTATATTAAAATAAACACGAAAATGCAATTTGGAATTCTTATTATTGTTTTCTTAATTTTTATATTTTGTTTTTATTAAAATTTTAGTCTTAATTTTAAAAGGTTTTAATTTTTAAATAAACAAAACTTTAGTTTTAACTTTTTATCTTTAGAAAGTTTTAATCTTAATTTAAAAAGAAAAGTTTTAATTTTAATTTTTAAAAGAGAAAGTCTTAAATTAAAAAAAAAAAAAAGCTCTAATCATAAGTTTTGTTTAAAAGAAGAAGTTTACATTTAAAAAAACTCGTTAGTTTTACTTTAAAATAATGTTAGTTTTAAAATTTTAAAGAAAGTTCTAGTTTAAAAAAAAAGTTTTAACCCTTGCTAACATGTTTTAATTTTTAATCTTTAAAACATAATTTTAACATAAACAAAAAATGTTAATTTTAATACTTAAAAAAAAGAAGAAGGTTTTAATTTTAGGTGTGGGTTAATTTTAAGTTTGTAAAAATGTTTTCACTTAACTATAAAAGTGTTTTAAACACTGTTTATTTATTTTAAAAAAAATTGCTAGTGGTTAGTGTTTTAATTAAGAAAAAGTATTAAGTTTTTACTT